GTTCTTGTTGAAGAAGAAACTTAACAGTTTTTTAACAGCTTTGATTGTCTTTGATGTTGTAAAAATTTGTTGTCTTTGAACGCTGTCAACGGTGAAAGACTGGCAGTTTAACTGTGTGTTTATATCGATTGAATTTGTGATTGATTTTATCATTAAGAAAAAACTATTTACAAAGATTTTTTCTGTTAATGAGTTTAATAGTTAACAAATTTCATGCTAAATATTGTAGCTATCAGATAGGTTTAGCTGAGGGCGTTCAGCCATGACACTAAGACTGAAAAACTTATTCTGTCACGTCTTTTCATGTTTAAAGGCTTTGAAAATCTGAGTATTGTAACGTATGATTTCATCAGATACATCAAAAATACTTGCTATAATTTGTTGTCTACAAGTAAAAAATTATCAGAGCCGCTCTCCGTTACACACTACTCTTCCGATGTATTTGCTTTTCCATCACTGTCAATAAAGTTGCATTTTTTGATCATATGTGTTCATACAATACATAAAACCAAAAAATGACGTTAAATAAAACTTCTTTTTCCACTGGTTTTTCCCTACTTCCAGATTATTTTCTTTTTGCGCTTCATGCCGTGTACAGAATTTGTTGTAAATAGTGGTTTACATAAGTTACTTTTTGTCTTGTATTTTGATTACAGTTTTTTGTCTCTCATTGGTCATTGCAGTAGTATAATCATCATAAAGTTCTGTATTGCAGCGGTGACCTCCGAGGAAATTGGTTGCAAAATTGCTACCAGCCACAACGGGCATGAGTATAGGATCTCTTGAAGACTCAAAATTTTGTGAAGGAGGTTCTGTGGAGTATGTCCGCGATGCAGACGGAGAAATTGTTCGGGTTTCAAAGCTTCCTCATCTGAAGAGGATCTGTTTCTGCCAGTCTGATGTTCCTCTTAAGTTGCAAATTCTGCAGAATGAGGTTTTATTTTGTTTATTTTGACTTCTTAAAACCAAGTTAGGAATATTATTTTTCATAGTTACCAGCTGTCATAAATCACGCCAGTCAACGTTAGGGTCAGAAACGGCTAGATATCGGGATAAAAATTTTATTTCTTTTTATTTAACTTCAATTTTTTTTCTTTTTTTTTTTTTGAGAAACGTTTTGTAAGGGAGCTAAATTATAATGCATTGAACTTTGAACGTATCTCTGAAATAGGAACTTACTACCGCAACGTAAACTTTTCTGAAGCCTTTGCGGTTAGCACTTCAAAATGATTATTAGTAGATTGTCGAAAGTGCGGTAGCGGTTGGGAATTTGACTGACCTGTTGAGATTGAAGTATTTAATGAAGATAAACAGTAATGGAAAATATATCAATAAGTTTGAGTAGGAAGCTTAAAATATTTTGAATTTTTAGCTCTATTACACTTCTACAAAAAGAATTTTGTCACACTTTCAGCTTGTTCCGGGATTGCTTTCAATAAAGAACTGCAAATCATTGACACGAATTAACTTCAAAGAAGACCTTAAATTATATGAAGGATATAACCATGTAGACCAGCGTGACAAAGAAGTCTAATTTTTTTGGGCTGTCAACCAACTTAAGCGTAGGCATCTCAACAACTGGTGAACATTTTCTTTTTTGGATAACATTTATATGTGCATTTCTTTTGGGATCTTATGATGATTACCTTTATGCATCTTTGAGTTGATGAGGATGATAATGGAAAACTGCTATTACGTTATTTTCACGTGAAGCCTTCTGTTATGGAATTTATTTTTTACAGTTTATTAGTATTTAAAAGTTCCTGTACAGTTTAGAAGCTCTCCTTAGCATTCATGTGTCTTTTTAAACGTAAGGAATTTTGTTTGACAGATGTTCTGACTAATAGCCACTCAAAAATGGTTGAATGTTTTATAATTCTTACTTTTTTTTTACTTTTCGATTTTTCCTTACGTTATCGACCAATTTTTAAATTTTTGTTTGAGGTCCTCGCGTAACTTTTGTCTTGCATTTTTTTCTGCTTCTCAGTTTTTGTGTTCCTGTGAGTGAAATTTTTTTAGAGCCAAGTTGTTTGCCGGCAAAGATTTCGTTGGGGTCACTTGATGTAAACTGTTTTTTTCAACAGGTTACTGTTACAAATTCGCACTGTTTTTTTTCAATAGGTGACTCGGGTCTTTTTTTTTAAATCAAATGTATGCAAAGTTTGGTGATTTATGAGTAGTAGTAACAGTTTGTCATTGTGTATATATTTTTATTTTTTATTACGACAGTATAAGCGGTCTGTATGGAGTTTCTAACAGCGTATTATGTTTACGTTTTGTTGAGGATAACCAAGTCTTTCTTATGCTATGTTAAATGTCATGTTGTATTCGCTAAGAGTTAGGGTTATGCTAATTTTGTGTAGGCCTATCTGTCAGCGTTGGTTTCATTGTTGTTTCCTCTGCTTCATAAGACTTTGTAAGAAGCGGTGTTCTAACATCACTTTGAGGTCAGTCCTATGGTTTTGGCAATTTTGATTTAGATTGTTTATACTACATTTATTTTGTATCTAAAACTCGCTGTAGATGTCTCATAAATCATTTTCTGGTTTTCTTCTAAACTCTTGCTCAATATAATGTTACTGTAAATCAAAAATAAAGTAGCTTTTGATACTTATTCTATTCCTGGTAAGACACTGTTGCAGAGAATTTTTTTTAGAAGCTTTATTGAGCTGGTCTTGTTACAGATAAGCTGGAGGTCTGAAACGCTTGAATTTTGCTTCAATCTTGGAAAGTATAATATCTTTGGTATTAGTTCAGCGCTGTTGCACAATGGCATAATCTTGGTTCGTTTTCATGAAGTTCTTTTGATAGTCAGATACTGTTGCCATCTGCAGACATATCCTAAAGTCAGTTTTAGGAACATCCTGACATCTCAACTTCCTGGGACGTGTAGTTCCTATACAAAAATCAGTATGTTCTTTAGCACTGCGAGTCTAACTATTTGTGCGGTGTTTTAAGCTTGTCCAAAATGATATTTCGGGGTGAGAAACTCAAAACTTGCCTTTTTACGACTTTCACTTTAATAGCAAATAAAACTTCGTTTATTACGCAGTAACAAACACCTGTACTTTTATAAGAGTAATGAACCCGAAGGTTTTAGTCTGCTATAAGGTAGAAATTTTGTTTCTGAATGCTACTTTTTTTTCTTCTATCTACATTAAAAATATTGTTTGAAAATAATTGAGGACTTGCTTTTCATTTCGTTCTTTCTATGTACATTACAATTATAACTTAAACTCATTGGAGATTCACACATGATTTTGGAGAGCTCTAATTCTTTGCTATTCGTTTAACTTTTGCAGTCATCTTCTGGCTGCTAGGGTTTTGCGGTGGAGTCAGAAAAAGCATAAAGTACATTGCAGCAGAGATTATAGTTTGATCAAAGTAAACTACAACTGATAGGCAAGGACAAAATACATAGTATTGTTTTTTGTACCTTAGCTAATCTTAACTCTAAAAATTTTATTTCTTTTAAAGTTTCCATTGGAATAAAAAGAAAAGAATCAAGGTTGTGCTAGGCATTAAGTGTGGGACTGATAAATACGAGAAAATTTCGAAAATATTAGACGTTTATTGTCCAGACCCTTTCGAAAAAACGGTTTTGCTGTTTAAACTTTGAACAGAAATGACGAAAGCGGTGGCCACTCGCTGTGAATATTTTCATTCACTGGTTCACTATTATTTTATTGCTACTTTACTTCAGTAGGCCTGATTCAGATTTTGCGCGTTATCTAAGATAAATTTTAAGTTTTTTATTAGGTTTTATTGTAGTTTATACTCTGCTGTCATTTGAGAACACATGATCATTGATAGCGTTTTAATAGGATAGCAATTTAGATAAATTTCCAAAGCTTTAAATTTGGGCATTTTTGTAACATTGTGAGTCAGAAGACTTTTCCTATTCTGTATGGAGTGCTGCATCGATCGTAATCACTGGTTTCATTCAACTGGTCATCAAAGAATATTTTTTAGCTGAATTTGCTTTATTATGGTTATTTGTTTATTTGTTAATTATACTGAAACTGTCTAATGCATCTTTTTCAGTTTCTTAGAAATTATTTTCCTTTCCGCTTAGTTTTCAAATTTAACAAAAAATAAAAAAAATAAGGTCAATAGATGTGAAAAAAAATTTGCTGCAACAATTAATTTAACTTTTGTCTTAAGGGAACAATTTATATCAGATTTGAAAAAGTAGTGAAAAAAGAAGCGTCAGTTATTGGTATGAACTTAGATGTAATTAAGAAATAAGAAACAGTTGGAAACACGGTTCATGATACACAAAAAAGATCTATTCTCTGCATATGCAGATTTGATATTAATGATATTTTTATTCTTTATTTTGAACTAAACAAATGATCGAAATATCAGGAACAACTGTTATATGAAATACTTAATCAAATTTAGGTTCCTAAAAATTTCAGTTGGAAGGTTATGTAAGCATGATGAGAGAAGTTTTGGCATAAAAAGAGGAGTTTTGCTGGAGCAAATTTAGTTTAGCGCAAAGCAACTGCAAACTCCTCTTCTCCGAAATAAACAATTCTTAAGATTGTTTACTTGTCTAAGAAAACTGAAAAATTATGTAACAGTCATTTTATCATTTGTCACTGCAGTTATCGGCCTTTAGGCTTCCAATATGGCTCCAAAAAAACTAGACGAAGGATTATTTCCTGAATTCGTGGGTTTTGATGAATTGACGGAAAAAGGTAAAAAAGGGGAAATTTCAATAAGTCTTTCTGAATCACAGTACGACGAAGATGACGATTTCGAACACCCAAGAGAGTATGAACCAACTTTGGCTGATAAAATTGTCAATTATCTTCTTTGCAGGTACTAAGAATGATTTTGAAACATTACAATTTTATTATTTATATACATTAAGGTAATGTTGCACTTTAATTTTTAAATCAGATTTGTCAATGGTTCAACTGCTTGTTATAAACACAGAACTGTAAAAGTAGATTAACTACACTGCATATTTTTTATATAACTGTTTGAAACTTATCTGGGTAAAACTTTGTCTTAATGGTTATTCAATAAAAAGTACGACAGTTTATTGACCAGTGGTTAGTTGTTTCTTTGGTTATGACAGAATTGGTAATCAGTTGCAAGTTTTGATGATGTTAATATTGAGAATATCAAATAAACGAGGCAATCTTACTTATCAAAAATTTATTTGTTAAATAGTTTTCTTGTTTATACATTCATTTTCTAAACTGGAGTCTTTGGCTTATAAAATTTTTTCAATTTTTTCAAAATTTTACAGTCAGCGAAGAGTTTTGATAGTGATAAGAAAACAAAACAAAGCTTGTTTGTAACATTTTTAAACTCTCTGAACTTTGCTTCGCTGTATTAAGCTTTAAGAACACTCAGTGGGTTCTAAATGGTCTCGGGTTGTGCACTTCGACTTTTGGCTTGAACTTTCTCAAAATAAGTATTAGCCACTTTTCAGGCCAGATTTAGCAAACAGAAAGTTGGAATACAAGCCTGTTTCGTTTGGTGGTTTGGTAAGCAATTTTGATATTTGAATGGGAACAATAAAAATTGTAATAATGGCACTTATAATAACAGTAATAATAATAGTAAAAAACTGGTTATGGAATGATAATAATAAACTACATTGCTCGCTTTTGTTACGATTAGAGTTTAATACAAACAGTATAAAATGAGAAATTTTTTTTTGC